TGGTGTTGGTGTTGGTGTTCGTGAAGATGATTAAACTGAAGTGATTGCGGACTCTGGTTTATCAGTGTTGGCATCGTAGCAATAGTAATGCCGCAGAGCAAAAGAGGTAGGAGTAGAAGTAGGGGAAGTAGTAGGAGATGCAGGGCGAGCAGCGGTGGTCGTTGCTGTCGCCGCCGTTATTGTTGCTGTCGGTGTTGACATCATTAGCAGTACCAGTGGTGGTAGTAGCGGCAGCAGGATTGTGAGGTTACCAGAGGTATCATTCACAAGAAATCTCCTGATGCTCTTCCTCCTACGGTGCGTTTAAAACGTTTACTACTACCGGTACTACCGTAGTAGCAAAAGCATTACTTAGTGTTGGTGGTACTATTACCGTATAGAAGCTTGAATGATTACCAATATGAATCCTTAGCGTTCCTTGGTATCACTATACTACAAGATAGCCGTAAAACCCGATTGAAAATTCGCAAGGCCCCTGTATCTCGTGGTGTCGTGGAGTATGTTCTGCTGATGTTGGTCCTTTGTGTGGTCTTTCCTTTGGAGTCCACGATGACATTTCTGAAGCCAGACGGTCCCTTTCTGGGTTTTTAGGGTTTAGGGGTTTAGGGCCTATAGGTTTGTGGGTTTATAGGTTTTTAAGCTTACGGCTCATAGGGTTTAGGATTTATGATTGTGGGTTTAGGGACTTAGGACTTAGGGCTTGGGTTTAAAGGCAGGGACTGTGAACTACTGAAACTCTGAAACATTCCTCAGCCAAGGGCTTGGGAACGAGCACGAAAGCCTAAACCGTTGCAGATCCCTGCTAATGTAAATCCGACTACGAGTAATGGTTGTCAGACAACAACTACTACTACTACTACTACTACTAGTCTACTACTACTACTACTACTACTACTACTACTACTACTACTACTACACTACTACTACTACTACTGCTAAAACTCCATAAAGCCTTGCCTCAGCGTGAGCTGCCTGGGGGGCCACCAGCGTCACAGCACCTGCTGTCGGCAACAGTTTCGGGAACAGAATTTATGAGTTCTAGAGAAATTGTGTTGTGTTACAGGGTTGGTTTGGCTAAGATGTAATTATGGAACAGCGTCTTGGGTGAAGTACAGTCTACCTATCGCGCACGATAAACGGACATGTTCTATACAATAGGCGAGTCTTCACAAAGACGGGATCAGAACAGATTGGTGTCTCGCAACCGGCAAATAAAAATCATTCCTACTCGTCGAAATTACGGTCCCTTTTAGGGTCCTTTTTATAAGGGTGCCGTACTATTTTTTGGGGACCCAAAGCGGGACCCTAATTTAGAGATTCAGATACCTGAGCTCGATGCTGACGAGATGCTGAGGGCTGCCGTTGCAGCATGTGGCGCAGTTGGAGCCGGTGTGGCGCGAGGTGCGGCCACGAAGGCTGTGAAGAGTGCGCCTGCAGCCAGAACAGGGCTCAAAGCTTCTGATTTTTCTGGGCACCCAAAACGGCAGAACCAAAATGGCCTAAAATCCTCAGTCATGAGCCCGTGCAAGACTCAGATATTAAACCCAAAACTTCCCCAAACCCACAACTCTTAAAGCCTTAGTTAATGGTTTGAACACGCACCATATTTCACATCGAGAAACACTTGGAGTTGCCGCTGCCTGGACGGTTTGGGGCTTTTAGGGTTTAGGGTTTATAGGGTTTAGGGTTTATAGGGCTTGTAGGGTTTAGGGCTATGGATACTTAAATGAAACCGTAAACCAGCACTCCCCAAGTACCCTTTAATTGAGCCCTTATAGTCCTTAACAGTGGGCATTTAGGGTAAAGTAGAAAGTAGTTGGGGGGGTGCTGGAAGGAACCTTGATAGTAACGGTTTAGGGTTTAGGGTTCAGGGTCTTTAGGGCTGCAGGGGGTAAACCCTGAAAACAACAAGTTATGGGAACTCTTGACCCCTTTCAGGGAACCCTGACAGGAACCCTTAAAGGAGCCCTTAAAGGAACTCTTATACCCAAAGACTCCAAAACCCTTAAATTAAGGAATATACCTTAAATCATATTAGGATTCCTATGATCGTTTAAGGTATATTCCATGATTAAGGGGTTTTGGAGTCTCTGGGTAGATCCCTTTAAGGGAACCCATACAGGAACCCGAGTCTCCGACCGCTGCACAGGAGAACGGCGCCGGTCAAGAAGACGAAGCGGGCCATCCTCGGGGTTGGAAAGCCCTAAAGTAGGGCCTTAATTCTTAGAATTGGGTTTTGGGCTAGGGGTTTAGGGGTTTAGGGTTTAGGGTTTAGGGGTTTAGGGGTTTAGGCTTCCTTTAAAAGGGTTCTTTAAAGGGTTCTATAAGGGAGCTACTATAGGGGTTTAGGGTATAGGGGCCTTAATACTTAGAATAGTTTTTTGGGGTGTATTATACGATAATTATAACAAGGAACCCACAAAGTAGCATAGGTCATTATTAAGGCGCCTATATTGCAGTACTTACGGGGATCCTTCTCAAAGATTCCTGAGAAGGTCTTGAGGGATCTGTTAGTTAGAGGTGTATATGGCTACGGCTTGGGTTTGCTTTGAAGGGTTTAGGGTATGTGCAGTCTTGAGGGTCCCCCCCCCGGACGGCTGCAGAACACAGGAGCTAGGAGTTTCCAGCAAGCACATGAAAGCATTGATGACTTGTACTGCTAGTCCCTAAAGAGTGCGCTTTGGGCATCCGGACAAGGGATTCCAACTCTGTGGAACCCAGAGACTCCAATATCCCTTAATTAAGGAATATACCTTAAACCATATTAAGGATCCTACTATAATTTAAGGATTATTCCTTATTAAGGGGCTTTGGAGTCTCTGGGAAGGTGCCCTCAACCCAAAACCCCCAAGGACGGTTGCGCGGTACGGTCTGAGGCTTCAGCGCTTGTCCGGGCTCTGTTAGCAACCAAGGAAAAAACAAATCCTTTTCAGGGGTTTAGGGTTTAGGGCTTCCTTTTCAGAGATGACGAGCCCAGGTAGGACGCGGAAGCCCTGAATGGCAAACCTCGGCGATTGGATGCCCAACCCGCCCAAAACCGCTTAAACAATGTACCTTAACTGCTCTGGGGGCTCAGTGTCAATGCTTCGGAAATGTTGGTTGGTTGGCATCAGGACAGATGATGATGTGGCCCTCAGCTAAAACCCTAAACATTTAAAATGCAGCTGGACTAGAGGCCTGCCTAACTTAAACAAGGCTGTGGGGCATTGTATGTGTTAGGGCTTTAGGGTTTTTCAAAAAGGTTCAGTGTTTTGGGCGAAAACACGCAGTCAAAAGCGCTGGGCTATCACAGACGTCGGAGCGCAGTAGTAGAATGTGCTTGGGCTCAGCTTGTGGATGCTTCTGAGCACACGAGAAAACCGGAAACCTGGAGTTCGCCTTTGGGTTTAGGGTTTAGGGTTTAGGGTTTAGGGTTTAGGGTTTAGGGTTTAGGGTTTAGAGTTGAGTCGAGTTGCTTGAGCTGCTGGAGGATTTCGGCACGGGACGGTGGAGCGACGTGGCGAGACAAAAAGCTCGGGCGACAAGCAGCAGAAGGCTTGGAAGCTGCCGGAAAAATGCTTTGGGAGCATGAACTATTGGACTCCGGATACTTTGGTATACCAGCAGCTTTTCAGTCGTTCGAGTCTTTGCGCAGGTGCTACTGGCACACCGACTCCCCAAGTTTGAGCACGAGCTCCTTTTTCTGCTTCTGCTTGGTCCTTGGTGAGAAAGACCGACTTTGGACTTGTACTCGCTCAGTCTATACTCGGGGGACGTAAGCTCTGTATCTAAAGCCTCAAGTACGAGCATAAGTAAGAGGTCGAAACATTTGGCACGTTGAACATCTAGCTAGAGGAATGTAAAACAAGCATTTAGCACAACGAACACGGTGTCAGTGGCGAGAATCTGAGACAGCTACGTTTAACGAACCGCTGATGAGGTCCAAAACTGCATTAAACCTGACTTTTTGAATACTAGTCGCGATTGCTTTGACGGTGCGAGTAGCAGTCGCAGAAGCTGTAGTCTTAGTCGAAATGGTGCCACTGCAAATCGTAGTAGAAGTAGTGGTCGTCGTCGTAGTCGTCGTCGCTGTAATAGTCAAAACAGCTATAGTCGTGGCTCGTCATAGTAGTAGTTGTGGCGCAGTAGTCGTAGTAGTAATAGTGGTCATAGTTGTAGTAGTAGGCGTAGTAGTAGTAGTAGTAGTAGTAGTAGTAGTATTGGTAGTCGTCGTCGTCGTCGTAGTAGTTAGCGGTAGTAGTTAGTGGTAGTGGTAGTGGTAGTAGTGGTAGTAGTAGTAGTAGTAGTAGTGGTAGTAGTAGTAGTAGTAGTAGTAGTAGGTAGTAGGTAGTAGGTAGTAGGTAGTCCCTGGTCATCCAAAGGGTCGGTGG